ATCCTCTCGTAAATATACATCACATGTCTAGAGAAGTTGTTAAGATTACGGGAAGAGGTTAAATGCCCTTGCAGATTCCTCGAGCATATAGGGATTACTGAACATTCGTAAAGATTAATTTGCATTAGGCGTGTATCGGCCTGACGCTATATTTAGAAGATATCTGTCATTCTGTCTTGTGGGGAAGATTATTATTGATCTAGAGCGGTTGGAGGTGAGGTTGTAGGTGGGGTATGCCTCCTTAAGGCTCGCTCCCAACAAAGCAATGATCTCCGCACCATAATAGATGTCGTGTTTTTAGGTAAAAACTCTAAGTACAGACTGGAACATTGTTAATGACACAGTTGTTTAATGCAAAGAGTTATTGTTCATCTTGGCTACCGGGCTAAAAAAAGAATTTTGACATTCCTGAAATTCAAATGAAGTTTAGATTAGTACGTTAATCTGATAATAGATGCTGCCATAATTCGGGGCAATCTATCGAATAATAAAGGAAGCCGTATTTATCATCAGATTGTAGCTAAGATATCATGTTTGTATTTTTCAATAATGATCACTAAATTCTTTGTGTCTAAGTTGTTTTAATTGCTCGGAATTCCCCCCTTTTATTATGCAGTGGAAAGTTAAATATCCAAGTTATTAAATGTATTTCTACGAAAAGTAACTGTGAGCGAATAATATACACGAATGTTAATGTGATGCAGGGAGGCTTATCGGCTAATTGGACCATTTGTAAAAACGTAAAATTATACATTTTTAGACCACTTTTAATGCGACGCGCGTCAGTTGTATAGGCAACGTCAGATTAACCAACAATGGCGATGCTTTAAGACATATAAGCACACGGGTTTTAACGAAGGAAATTTTACAAAACAGTGACAGGTGTTATTTAGAAACGGACTGTAATGCAAAATTTACGAGTGCAACTTTTATGGGCACTAGGTGCTTGATTTTAAGTAATTCCTAGCCATGCGTTGAGGCGGCGATGCGGCCGCTCAGAATGCTCTGTGCCTATATAGATTCATACGTACATTCGTACAAAGATACTGGCTTTTGTCGGCAAGGCAGCGGGACCTATGTTAGATGGTTAATGCGTTTCAGCAAGAGATTTGCCCCCTCATCTGAAATAGAATTATTAAATGAATCTTAATGGCAATACAAATTACACCAGCGAGTGTTTTATGCGTTGCAGCCCAGGCCCACGACGTTGCACGCCTACCGCCATGTCGTCATTGCTATAGTAGAAGATAACTCCATATTTGAAACAGATTCGTCACGGATTATAGTCCGGCACAAATAAACCGCCTATACGCTCCGCGGGCGGCTTCGTCTTCTAAATTGTTGAAATTGAAGAACTTCATGTCGAGCCGTCGCTCGTGTCAATGTTGTTATTGACAGCTAGCACTTTCAAGACATTATCCTATGCCTCTCGGTTACTGGTAAACACGCGGTAATGGATGGGGGGAGCACAAACAGGCCTACGCTCGCGCGATGGGATACGCAATACATGGACAGTTTCCACTTCAAACTACAGAGAAAATGTCAGAGAAACGTTCGGATGTCTGGAATGCTTACCCAATATCATACATATCACACGCTTAGGCGACCTACGTTAGCATTAGGGGCGTCTCTGCACAGTGTTCTCCGATCAGGGGCTTAGGTTTAGCGATGTGTCTGCTCCCTTGACAAAACATCATCCAACTAGTGGGACAGATTCACGGCCATCATGTGTATAAGTTCACGGTAATGAAGTAGAAACCATGCAAGTTAACACACAAAGTCTCTGCGCTCGTTCTTCGTTATAATACACTTTTTCACATTCAACATCTCGAATTCATCCTAATGAAGTTACACTACAATTCGGAGGCCACTCTCTATCCTTGATGCTACGTTATGGTATGCAAAGTGGCTTTCAGCATTACAGATTCCCATCACCGGCCCTCGCCGCAAACTCATCACCGCACTTAAAATTTTAAACCGCAAGTTTTCTGCTAGTGTTTCTATCGATCTCCACAGAGAGTATATTCACGCGTGCTTACATAGGGCTGTCGAGTCGAGCATTGCCCAGCGTGCGCTGACTCTCTACGCGCCGAATTGTTAAACACGGCGTGGCGCCACAGCAGATATCAGAGCCTTCGTTCGTGGTAATCACATTTCATTGCTGGGACTCGGGTTGCAGACGTGCTCGTAATGTACGAGTCAGCGTTGTTGAAGTTCGGCCGCTAAAATATCACAGTAAGCTATACAGTACTGTAGGTGCGTGTCAAGGGGAGACGGTCAAATGCATGCATTTATGTTGTGGCGTCTCATATAACGTGTGTGTGTGTGTGTGTGCGCCTGCGTGCGATCGCTCCTGCGTGCGTTGCGTGCGTGCGTGCGTGCGTGCGTTCTCGCCCCGCGCCTCTCTCTCCGTCTCCTCTCCTACACCAAACTGAGCTCTCTCTCTCTCTCCAGTCTCAATCTCATCCTCTCTCATCTCTCTCTCTCTGCCTCTACACACTCTCTCTCTCCTACTACTTCCTCTCATCCTCTCTCATCTCCTTTCTCTCTCATCTCTCTATCATTACTCTAATCTCTTCTCATCTCTTTACTTCCAGCGAGAGAGAGAGAGAGAGAGAGAGAGAGAGAGAAAGAGTGACAACTAAGGCGAACGGCATGACGAGTGAAAGTGAGATGCCAGGGGGCCGAGGCTGAGCAAATTCCTAGGGGGCAAAATTTCGTGACTCAACTGTGTAATGATGAGCGACGGGCGCAGCCCTTGACCGACGTCCATAGTGTGGTGGGGGTGGGTCTGAGACAAGGCTTTCACGGATAAGTGACAAGAAAAATCACGTTAGGGTTATTTACGATTATTAGCTAAGCTTATTTTTTAATTGTGCTCCAAAATCTTGGGGGCAGCCCCACAGGGTACGGCCCTGGATGCAATGGTGGAAAGTACAGAGAAAGTAATGTTGCCTGAGCAAGGAAAAAATCACAGAGAAATTGAGTAGGCCAGAGCAAAGCTCGGATCAGAAGAAAGGAGATATAGAGAGAGTGACAGAAAGAGAGCGAGAGAGAGAGAGAGTGAGTGAGTGCGAGAGATAGAGAAAGAAGAGCGAGAGAGAGAGAGAGAGAGAGAGAGAGAGAGAGAGAGAGAGAGAGAGAGAGAGAGAGAGAGAGAGTGTGAGAGAGAGAGAGAGTATTGCTGGTATCATGTTGGCTTTTACTTCTTCAATGATACTTCTTCTTCGTTTAGCGAAAGGATCCGTAAAACAATCATTACCCACGTTATTTTAATTAGATTAATTAGATAAGGGGCACAGGACCTCGGACCCACTGGACGAGTAATTTTCTGATGAGCAAACATTCGTTGTTCTTACCCAGAAACATTTTTACAACGATTATAAACTTAAACAACTATTTTAAGCTTTTCAGCGGATTCTGAAATTACCGAGCTCAGAAAGCATTTTTACAGCTAAACGCGTGTATTGTGCTCTCAGCTCTGTGTATTGTACGATGCGGTGCGTATTGCGTCACGTATAAGTAGGCCTCTTAATCAGGCATTTTCATACTTCCCAATATTTCCTAATAATGGGGGGGGGGCACTAAAGAATAAAACGTACAAAAACAACAATAATATCAGGAGCGAATAAAATCTTTATGGATTTTATTTACATTGTTATCGGGTAATTAAGTGTTTTTGTAAATAATATTCTCACTTGTTATAAAACATCAATGGGAGAAGGGTAAATTCGGTATTGCTCACTACGCACCTCACGCTTGCTCCGTTGTGACGAATTAATGCATGCAACACATGCAACACTTGGTGCTATGAATCTGAGATACAGAATAAGTCTCACACAAATAACATCATTTTTGAGTGTATATATTGGTGAATAATGAGCATATATACGTAAATATGGTTCAACTACATATCGCACATAAAATTTAAGTGTGAAATTGTAGACTTTCATATCCACACAGGTGTATCACCATATAGCAGTACATATTACTCTAGTTAAAGCATTTCAGTCATTTGTTAACAGTAAACAAATAAACGTTTAACCATTCTCTTTATGGTCTCTTTGCACAGCAGTGGAAAGTACATTTCATATCTCTTTCGATCAAATAATAAAATGGTAAGCTGGCACTGCCAGAAAAGGTTTTCACTCGATCGACGATGAATTCGATCGACGACGAATTCGATAGACGAATGAGCGGACGGACTATCTTGCCATTCCACAAGCTGCATCTGTCTGTGTCAGATAAACTAAAAACCAACTACACCCCTATACACCAATAACACAAAATGATACTGAATTCACATGATGAATTACTTACTGAGAGTTTAATAAACATTTTTATTATTTGAAAACTCTATACAATATGCAAAATATCGATATAACCAATAAGACGTTGCATGTTAATTATAACATGCCATTACAAAACTGAAAAGCTTTTGTGTCTTTAAATCAACATCCACTTCGTTTTCAATATCGGTAACGCATACACACATCAATACTCGCGTATTTTTCATAAATATACCTACGCTTTACACACATGTGCGAATCAATATACAATTTATGTGAGAATATTCTATACTACTAGTGGAAGGTTTCGCGAAAAATAACCGTGGAAACTGTTGAACTATGAAAGCGTATTTTGCAAACATTCATCACAGATCAACGGAAATGGCAAACATTCTCTCCCAGAGCTCAGCACTGCTCTCTTGTTACAACACGCTCACCAATCTAACGCCTCTCTCTTGAGGTGTGTGTGTGTGGGGGGGGGGATATATCACACAGCTCCCAGCTACATAGCAGAGAGCACATCCCTGTAACGGGAGCAGAAGGACACATGCTACCAGGGCCGTAGGCTGAGCAAATTCTTAGGGGGGGGGAGGGCCAAATTTCATGACTCAACTGTGTAATGATGAGCGACGGGCGCAGCTCTTGATCGACGTACATAGTGTGGTAGGGGTGGGTCTGAGACAAGGCTTTCACGGATAAGTGACCAAAAAAATCTCGTTAGGGTTATTTACGATTAATAGCCAAGCTTATTTTTAAATTTTGCTCCAAAATCTAGGGCCCCCCCCCGAAGCTACGACCCTGGCTACAGTGTTGATGCTTGCTTCAGTGCTGCCACCTGCTATGATTTCATCAGCTGTGCTAGCTGCCTCTCGATATCAGCGTCGGTCACCTCAGCCTTAGACAATTCGCCAAGCTGCCCTTTACCTGCAGTGGGAGCGGCAGCAACCTGTTTGGAGTAAACACCAAAATCATGAGCCTCTCAAGTCCTCTCAATCTGTCTCTCGTCGAAGAAGTAGCTACTCACAATACAATATCCAGGCAGGTGTGGCTATGGTACTAGATAACACACACAATCTAACATCCATACAGTCAGGGTTACGAACAGGTACCTCTGTTAAAGGGCATTGCAACATAACTGCTCATCAAATTCAATCAAACACATGTCTATCTAATAAAAGAGATGTCTGTCTACGCTCATGACGAAAATAATCATAAGAAAATTCATCACTAATTACGTGACGGCAAAAATGGTAAATTTATACAAAAAAAATGGTTTTTTCTTATTTCTCAGAAACAGCAGAGTTGGGACCTAAACTTTTAACCATAAGTTGTTCATAGTATGAACTGAAAAACGGTCCCTGGAATTTTTGTTAAATGTTTTTGTCTATTTATTTTATATTCTATCTATTTATATATTTAAGGCTCAGATGAGCTAGCAATAACTGCTAAAACTGCCGTGGGAGGGCAGCACCACCTCACCTTGCCTGTCATCTCGATCCCTATCTCATCAAGCACCTGGGTAACAATGGCATCCTCCTCTTCTTCATCTCCCGACTCTGTCAGGATGTCATCGAGAGTGTCGTTGACTGCGTGTGGATAAATAGACGATTAAAAAATTAAAACAGTGTTAAATGGTGGTGGGTAACTCACATTTCAGGGGAAATTACAGGCATTTTACATAGATTCCTCGTTTGTAATAAAGATAAGTTACGTACTACCAATCAAGATGACCTTTCATGAATTTTACATTTTACTCTGTTTGTGTTTTCTAATTATGCAAGTATTGTTTTCATTTCAATAAAGAAAAATAAGTAAAAGCATTGTTTCAATCTAGAATGTAATACTTAGTTATATTTTTGCTTTTAGTCTTTAAGAGAATCGTGCGTCACACGTGATACCGCACAGTCTGTGCATTCGTGACGCACACGTGGCGATTTTTATCGCTAGTACTGGCGAGTTTGTTGCCGGCGACAGAATCGCCAAAAGATCGCCACGTGCGCGCTGCATGGCGATGGCAATTTTGACGCCAGAAACTCGTCGCTGGAATATCAAACATGTTTGATATTTGTTGCCGAGTCGCTGAACAATCGCCACGTGTGTGCTGCATTGGCGATGGATTCAGGCAACAGTTTTTGGATTAACTAATCAAATGCATGATTTGAAGCACGTGATAAAATATGGCATCGCCCTTGGTGTGGGGAAAAAACAGGAGGATGAGCTTGTTGAAATGTGGCAGGAACGCCCGTGTCTTTTTGACATTACGAGTAGCCTGTACAGTGACCGGGTCCTGCACAATTAAAATCGCCAGTAGCGATAAAAATCGCCACGTGTGCGCCGGGCTTAACACTCACTCATCTCTTCATTCAATTTAGAATGTAATACTTAGTTATATTCCTGCTTCTAGTTTTTAAGGGAATGGCGCGCCATACTTGGTACTGCACAGTGTGTGCTAAAGCCTGGGACACACCATGCGAATTTATTCGCACGTCCGCACGTCCGCAGCGAAAAGATCAAACATGTTTGATCGCTGTGAATTTCGGTGCGGATGAAATTCGCAGCGAAATTCGCCCGCGCTTGAGCGGACACACCATGCAAATTTCGCTGCGATTTTAACACTCGCTGCAAACGTGCGAATAATTTTGCATGGTGTGTCCCCCGCTTAACACTCACTCATCTCTTCGCTCATCTCCATCTTCGTGTTTGCCATCTCGAACTCCTTCATTGTCTTGGCCACCTTCATCGGATCCATGGTCTTATTCATGCCTTGCATCGTCTGCGAGAAATACAAGGTCAGGCCCATCAACACGGTCATCATGTCAACTGATGAATGAGATTTGGTGTGTGTGTGTGCGTGCGTGCATGTGTGTGCATGCGCGTGTGCATGCGCGTGTATATATGTGTGCATGTGTGCGTGCGTGCGTGCGTATGGCATCACCAAATTGAACTGCACGTAGATAAACTTTCTTCTAGTGCTGCTAGTTTTATAGTTAAAGTGCCATCAACACAGGGAATATAATGCAGCCTTACTAACACAATAAACAAACAAGGAAATTATTATCAACCAGGCATTGTGCTGAATACCCATTGTAGGGTTTGTGGCAACCTTAAATAAATGCCTTTGTGCCTCACACAAAATGACTTAATACCACTTCTTCCCGATCCAGTTGGTGTGTATGTAAGTACAACTCTTACAACTTAGTAAGGTGGACCAAAAGAAACCTCGACAACATATCATTAGAGTACATAGTACATATATAGCCTAACACGTACACCATCTCTACATGTAGCTACAGAGAGCATGTTTGACATACCTTTGTTGTCGTAGACATTGCGTTTGCCATTGCCATGTTTGAAGACAT